GATGGGGGAGGACAAAAACAAAAAATAATATATGTTTGGATGAGGTTGAAAAGCACTGAGTTAGTTTTAACTAGGACTGGGAAAACCAGGTTGAAAGCTGCATTCAACAATGGAAACTCACTGGATGACTTTCAGCCAGTCACGGTTGGTCAACCCAATGACTTCACAGGGGGAAATTGAAGGAGAAAATAATTTATTTGCCGCTTTGGTCTAAGCAAGCTATAAAAGTAATAAATCAGTAGACGTAAAGGCAGGTGGATGGCCTCTTGCAAGTCCATCTACAAAAGTCTGCCATCCCATTCAACCTCTTGATGTAAGAGTTGGCTTCCAGACCGACGAAGGTATCGCAGACCATTAGGTCAACAGCCAAGCTGCACGCTTCCATGTTACCAGTGAACAGGCTTTGCCAGATTATAGGAAAGCTGGTAGGAAGAAAATCAGAACGTTTCCATCCAAACGTGCAGGGTGTACGTGGCACGAAACTGAAAGCAGGTTCGGTTGCTGGAATTCTTATAACCCCATCCCTTTCATATCTCAGGAAACCTTGCCAAGGAGAAATCCACGCAGATGTTGCTCGGAAAAGAATCACTTCCAGTTTTGGGCAGGTGCCGAAAACCCGATACCTTTTCCCCTTAAGTTTCTTACCCTTACAACTGCTGATTTAAAAATGGAAGGGCGCAGGGGACGTACATGTAGGTATCCAGGGAAGCTGGATTCTCACTCCAAGGTTGGAGTTCAGTCCCTTGCTAAAGATGCTGGGTTATTTCTTATGCATGGATTATATACCGGGTATGACTTTTAGCAATGCCCAGCATACATAAAATGGGTGTTTCTTGCAACCTTTTCTAAATCAGGAACTTCAGCTAAGCTTCTGCACTCTGGCCTCTTCTCTCAGTACAGCTAAAGGCCCAGTTTCACTCTCTTTACAAAAAACAGGGGCAGGATGTAGCTCAGCCCTTCCCCACCCCAGTGTTTTGGGGAAGGTAGTGTTCCTCGCAGCTCAAAAATCTTCCACACCCCGGAAACACCCTCTCCTTGCACATGTGATTTATGCTCTACCTACAGAGCTTCAACTGGCCACCTAACCACCCTGCCATTTCAGGATCCCTTTGAGAGAAACAGCCAGCATTCAGAGTGTGTGTTTGGGTGTGTGCTCACCGCAAGCGTGTGGCTGCCCAGCCATCGTGTTGCAACCAGCAGGCACGGCCACTAGGTGACACTACAAGGCTACAGTACCAGCTGTCTAAGGGGCCAAAGGTCCACCCACACCAACAGACTCCCTTCCCCCAGTATGGCAGGGGAAAAACTGGGTTACAGATGAGCTAATCTATTGGCAGGGAAGCAGCACTCTCCCACTGTTTTCCAAACTCTTCGGCTTCCTGTCTTTCATTTAGTTTCACCCGTCCCAGCAGCTGTAGCAAAAACCAGGAGAGTGTGTGGGGTGGGGAGGGGAGAGCGACTGGTAGAGATCGGGAAGTTGAGAAAGTGGGTGGGACCTGCAGCTTGGATCAAAGTCAGACGATAGGAACAGCAGTGGAACAGATCACGTGTCTTGCGCCACTGGAGAAACTCAGCACAGTTATTGTGTGTGGACCCATGGCGGTAACGCTGCGCCTGCTCTCCTACGGACGCTAAGCTATACATATTCACCTAGCAGGAAGTCCCATGATGAACAACCCCGACTTTCAAGCATGCAAAGGGATTTTTACCTTTTCCTTAAAATATCTTTTGGCTTGCTCTGTTTTGCATGGGGGGGGGGAAAGGAGCAGAGGCTGCAATTCCCCCACCCCCTCCAATTTGCAAAACTCTCTGCAGACAACTTCCACATCCCCTCCTGTGGCAGCCATTATCTGCTGGGCAGCATGGAAGTCTTTTATATTCTACACTGAAAATTTAAACAAAAAACAACTGCGCCAAGCTTTAAAAAACCCCTGAATACTACACCGAGGTTATGCAAACGAAGCAAAATTGCAGAATGAGTTTAGTCCTGTTCTTGAGCTTCTGAAAACTCCAAAGCCCTGGCTGACAGTAATTCCTGTTAACTGCAGAACCAAACTCTCCATCATTGCTTCAGACGGCTGAAATACGTGCATCCAAAAGAGCTAAAACTCTGCTCTTTAAATGTAAACAATCCAGCAAAACATAGCATCACAGTAACAACAAAACCCCAAATTCAACTACCACCACCCCAAATCTGGTAGCTTTTCCACAATTATTCAGGATTGGGGAAAACTAAGATCAGGCAAATATTGGATTCAAAGATTTAGTGGTGATTTGTTCAAAACTCCAAATCGCTTTCTGAACTGAACTGTCCATTCAATATGAAGAGTTGAACTGAATGCTTCTGAACCAATGTGGGTGATTTTTGGAGGCAAAGAATACATGTTGCTAAACTGATTTGGAAAGTCAAATCAAAGTGACCCGAGTTAAAAACTCTATTCAAATGTCCAAATTGAAATAGATCCATTTTTCAACTGAACTCATGATTTAAATCAGAACTTATATGAGTCACTCTGGCCAAAAAAATAACCATACACTTTGTTTCACTCAGCTGCCAGAATATGTTTTACAGAGGAAAAAATTGTGTGCATAGAACCAAAAAGAGATATATGCAAATAATTGCTTAGATCAGCTTTCTCCAACCTGGTGCCCCTCCACATGTGTTGGGACTGCAGCTAATATGGCCCCCAGCTAATATGGCCAACAAAACCCAAACACCAGGTTGGGGAAGGCTGGTCTACAATATGGCACAAGCTACACAACCTTTAGGGCTACCTGATCTGGACTGTGACAATCCAGATGACCATGAGAGGGCAGCTAAGAGATCCAGAAAACCTTTATGTTTTTCTGCCCTTTGGTGGTTCTCTGGAGTTTTGCAGCTCGCATCTGGTACACCTGTAAACTCTGCTCCTGATCATGCAACATACGCATCATGAATGTTGGCCCTTACCCAGTTCATATTGCACAGCATTCGGAACAGGGACTCTCAGCAGCTGCAAGAGAGATAAGAGATTGAAAGCAGCAGATAAGAAGGCTGCAGTGAGAAAGGCATCATTGAAGATAAGGCAACTATCAATCATGAAAACTATCTGGAGCCTTTATGTTCAGCAGAACTCTACCACCCTGCGAACAGGGGGAACGGGATGGCAAACAGAATCAGTCCATCCCTCGCTAGCAGTTATCAAAACATCTGAGGTGGAAGAGCTCTTGAAAAGATCTTCCCAGGGTTCACTCACCCCAGTTTTGTCTAAGAATGCATGGCAAAAATCCACAAACTGCTTCTTTGCTTCCTTGGGCCCAAGGCGGTTTAGGATGAGGTCCACGTGCAGGTAACAGAGCTGCAGGAAGAGAAGGTATTAAAGCAGACACACAGAAGCGACTGAAGAAAGGAGAACTTGGGTTACTTCTGGTTGAGGCTTGTAGGACTACCTCATTTGACCAATTCTCTAAATCCACAGCAATGCTAGAGGTCTAATTTGTGAAGAATGAAAGAAAAGCAAGCAAAGATTTGCAGCACCTTGATACAATCCTTTGAATCTTCATCCTTACTCAAATAGGGCCTAAGGACAAAAGATTAGTTTGAACATGAGTTGCCTGTTTCTTTCCTGTCCCTCTAGCCCAGAAGGGGGCATTTTGTGGGCTGCATGCCATTCCTAGCATCCCAATGGGGCCTCCCTCCCATAGTGTTCTCCCATGATGCTATCTGCACCTCCTGGTCACCACTGATCAACTCTGTGATCAGCCATCAAGCAGTTATGTCCTACAAGAAAACAGAACCAACACAAACTCAGCATTCAACTGAAGATGTCAGGATCCTGTTCCCACTGGAAGAGGATCCGTTGCCTATACAGTTGGGGTGGGTGGGGGGAGGGCTGCAGTGCAGAAACCTGGCATCACACCCTGCTTTAGCATCTTCCTGTGTGAAGTTTCAGATTGTGTCGTCCTCTGGGGAGGAGTTCAGTTACTTACTATGCCACATGTATCAAAGCATGTTACGTTCAAGCACGTTGGGCGCTAAGCATGCATGTGGGAACGTGGAGGTAGTCATGCTGAAGTCAAATGATCAGCAAAGACCAGGATATATTTATGTAAACAAAAATAAAAGACTTAGGCAAGCAAAAACATAGTCAATATGATAAGCACCCCAAGTTTGCACTGGTGTATATGATGCTTTGAAACCACAACACAGTGGTTAAAGGTGTGTAAATGTGCTGCTGAATTAACCTCCAAAAATATGGGACTGACACTTTAGGAACAACTCTGGCTCAGGTGAGCCTGGGGTTTGGCTAAGGGAATTATCCTGCACAGATGGAACAATAACTTGCCAGGTGTTAAAAATGGATTCAAGAGATACGTTCTTTGTTAGAGGTTGAAATGTCTTTATATTATGAAAGAGAGAAGATAGAGAGGTATGTTTCTGTATGGTCTAGATTTTACAATACATTAACAGACTGGGCTAGTTATAGATTAAAATTGTATTAGCACGATATGGAATGTCTTTTTTGCTTTTAGTTCACTGTAATCAAAGTTATGTATATATTTTTATTGCAGTACTGTTGTTGCATCATTCTTATCTCTGTAAAATTTCACTATAATCTCTAATACACAGTAACAAAATAAAAGTAAAAAATAACACTTTGCTCACAGATTATTCTGGTACCCTTCCCAACTTTTACACTGGGTCGATTTCAAGCCTGCGGGCGACACTGCCTTGTTTTCTGAACCTTTCTCCATGATTTATCCCTGATGAATAATCACGGTCAACATTTAATTATACATCTTCCTTTTTCTTCTCCCCATCCCTTCTTTTTTTTTTAAAAAAGAATGCAAGCTACTGGGGCAGAAGCCAGCTTAATGTATTCTTTGCACACCACCTACAACATACTTAAGTGATTATTACTTAGTAAGCAATCTTCCTGGCCAAGTTAGAAGACAAGCAGATCTACCTCACACTGAGTGATGAATTAACATCCAGATGCCCTCCAGCCTTTCCTTCTATGATAGAATAAAGTAAATATCTATTACAACAACAACAAAAGCAACAATATTTCTTCCAGAGGGCAGCTGAGTTACTCTTTAGTAGCAAAAACTACTTAGAGTTTTACAGCAAGGTGCTATTCTCTTGTACTTTTAATATATTTGTATATTTATTTCAAACTTACTGTATAGGCAACATACAGAGTTTAACTATTCTGACTGCTCTGTTTAGTGTTCATTATTTTATGGGAAAACTTGGTCTAGAGCAGTGGTTCTCAACCTCAGCAACTTTAAGATAGGTGGACTTCAACTCCCAGAGTTCCCCAGCCAGCTGGCTGGGGAACTCTGGGAGTTGAAGTCCACCTATCTTAAA